ATATTGTATATATATATATATATATATATGTCATATGTATATATATATATATGTGTGTGTGTGTGTGTGTGTGTGTGTGTGTATGTATATATATATATAGAAGTCTTTCTATTTACACGTCTGTAAGTGACTGGGTATTATTTCAAGTCTTCCCTTTACTTTAAGCTTTACCGTTCGCTCACTTATACATACGATGGTTGCGTGAGGTTGTCACTGATAAATCTGTATGTGATACGGTTCCTTAGTCTCGGTATGATATTCAAATCAGACGGCGCCAACGTGTGCTGTATCATATCTTGTTCTCTGATATTCCAATAATCGTACAATACCATATTTGTGTGAATTTCTAGTATGATACCTTTTATTCAACATTATAGGAGCAATATATCTAAGCCCTCTAACTCTAGGTGAACCTCACACAGGCGATCGGTCTGTACACTTCACAAGCTGCATCGTAAATTTCCGCAATTAAGGTTTCATTCATTGATCCTTGGCCGGATTCACATTGTACTAAACCCTGTTGATGTCATGTACTTGGCAGTGTCTGTTTGTCAAGCTAAATTCACCCGATAAAATAAATGCACATACTCGACGATATTACTACACCGACCAGATATTCAACCAGCAATAGATGCACCATAACACCGAGAGCCCCCAGATAGATACCACCCGTATATCACCAGTCGCTCGTGTTTATTATATCTCTCTCGCACCCTGTTTTACTTCACCAAAACATCACGAACCCACGATTACCTGATGAACGCGCGGATAAAATATGAGCTTTAGATATAGCCTATCATTAAGACTCTTCGAATTTCATCTACATACAATAAATCTATTTGATATTGAGACTCTTCAGGTTTTATTCTTTTAATTTCTCTTGATATTTCTATCTTTCTCCTCAAACACAGCACGACGATCCTTCGAGCATCAATTGTTCATATATATTTCAATTTCTCTCATCAAACACAGCACACCATCCTATTGTCATCAATTTCTCGTCTATTGCTATCTGTCCGCTTAACCGCAGCCGACAAACCATATATCATCAACTTCTCATGTGCGTTGCTATATCTTCCTCAAACACAGCAAGAACACACCATCTCCTGATGAACGCCAATTCCAACCAAATCGCACAGACGGGTAGCTTACCCATGGCCACGCCGAGTGTGCACAAGTGTTGGGTGTGCAGTGTGATGTCCGAATGCGCTGAGTGTGCCTTCTGCGAGCGAGAGACATGTGAGCGATGCCAACGCCAGTGCGAAGGCTGTCTGGAGTCGTTCTGCTCGCTCTGCTCGACTACCAAGTATGTGAGTTTGAATTTGGATTTAGATTTGGATTTGGATACAGTAAACACAATGCAATATGATTCCTAATGGGTAGGAGATATGTACACGAGGTGTTGAATATGTGTCATGCGTCTGCGAATGACGACAGGTAGCATGCACAGTCGGAATGATATACTTTTACCGTCGATGTGTGGCATAGACACTATGCACTACATTTTGGACTCGCAATTGAATATGCACTAGGAATAGCTTGTGGACCGGGTCAGCCATAGTTCGATAATTTCATATTTGTATCCTTGACTATGACGGCTGCCATGCGAGTACTGTAGTACGTATGTTGTGCGGTGTTTGTGACTACATTGCTGACTAGATGGTGTAAATTCTGGACACAAGTGGCATATCCGCTATACACTAGCGACGCTTAGCTGACGCTGAGAATACATGCGCTTCCAATTGCGCGTAACATGGCTGTCAGCATTGAAAACTAAATCCATTGACATTGTGTATTGTTTTATCTCGTCATAGCTTTTTGTCTTGTTCGTGAGCCATATCTTTCTTACGACCCAGATTTCGTCGTAGTGCATACGAGCGGATGGGAACTCTGCCTGCTCGACACAGAATATTCGTTCTATCGATGGCGGGCACTAACGCTCAAATGTACCTATATCATTGCCATGACATGAGAACTCGGTGCGCTTCAATAATGGACTTGTCTCCATTTCCTTAACTACGTACAAATAAATTAACACACATTTTTGAATGTATATGTATATGTATGTACGTATGTATATATATATATATATTTATATATATATATATATATATGTATGTATGTATCTATGTATATATATGTATAAATGTATATATATATGTGTATATATGTATATATATATGTGTGGATATATGTATATATATATATGTGTGTTTGTGTTAGTGTGTGTGTGTGTGTGTATGTATATGTATGTATATTATATTTATATCTATGTATGTATGTATATATGTATGTATGTATGTATATATATTTATATATTTATATATATATATATATTATGGTTATGGCTATGGTTATGGACATGGACATGTATGTATCATAAAGCAGGATGTCAATAGAGGACTCACTTCGTTGTTCGTTTACTCTCCACAGTTATGACGAAAAATACGATCGCACATTCTGTTTAGACTGCAACGAAGAAGTGAGACGGTCTTCCCCAAATCGCAAACCGGTCACTGGCTTCTCACAGCTGCCAACGCCTTTACAACAGCCATACTTCAAACAACTACAGTACAATTTCCAATGATGGTACCACTCAGAAACGGCTCAATTTGACCGCACCGAGCATAGTCCCGGCTGAGCATCCGACATAACTGATCCTAGATGAGTACAGTACGAAGCCTGTGGTATGAAAAATGATGCGGTGCAAATGACGATATAGCCCTACACCTACCAAGTCTAGTACAATCGCGGCTAAATATACGGGATAATTAACCCGTATGGATGCAACGTCGCCTTACTGCGAAAAGTGTTAGCACAAAACTGACGTGCTGCGGTCGTCAGAATGTATCCCTACCTGTTTGTCACCGCCTTAGAAGTATCACAGACAGTCAACTACTATATGTTGTACCCACATATACATGTCATCTACAAGTAGTACGGAGAGCACGCGAGCCCATCAATAAGTACCATTGCTGGCTACTGGATGACGCTACATGACCCTTGACCTTAAAACGTTCACCAACCAAGTGACCGGAGAGTTGAATCCCGATGCCAGATTGCGCTGGAATTGGTTAGGCAGGCCTGCTATGTATGTATCATATGTGTTTCAAACAGTGGGCGCTCCTGGCAGATAATGTGTTGCTTTGTGTATCCAGTAGCCGCAAGACTATTCCATCCACTCGACCGTACGCCGACTTGTTTTGGGTCGGTGTATGACTGTGATAGCTATCTATGGAGTGTATTAGCGTGCCAGAAATATGAGCAGGTCCTGTGAGCAATAGTGCCTCAGCAACAAACCCGTGTGTAACTGCTCCTGAGGTAAGGTAGCAATGCTGGGTGTTACCACGGGTGACCCACGCCAAAAACTGAGTACTCGGTCTGCTCGGATGTGCAAGTGTAAGGAGGGGCTTAAAATTCCGACCTGAAGCTGTGGAAGTACAGCAGGATCAAATATACCATAGCTGAATCTGAGGCTGAATCTAGTTGAGTGCCTAATATGTTAGGCTTCCGTTCAGGGGAGCAAATGCGCTAACGTCGAGCGCGATAATAGCCATGAGCTAAAAGATATGTGTCAATAAATCGGACCTCCACAATCATTTGTTGAAGAGATCAAACAATACTGTATAATTGCTCTATATTTGTGGACTACCCCAGTTGCTCGTATCGGAAACTATTACTTGCTGTCATACTACTCATGAGGCACACGTAAAAAGTTGCCTCCATCGCAATACGTCTTTCAAAACGACCAACCAACCAAAACACAAACATCGTAGATACCTTATATGGTGTCGAACAAACAAGTCAAAAAAAAATGCAAGCTGCCTATATACGCCTGACTTTGAAATAGACTCCTGGGTTTCAGCAAAATATATCGTTGCTATAGATTGAATATAGATATGAATAAGCTTGGGCTCGATAAAGGAAGGTGTCATATCACTCTGGTATGTACGGTGTATCTGAAAGACATATTTGCGGGTTGTGTGGCTATAAATAGGTGACTCGCGCAGATTGGGTGAGGTGGCATTGCCCTGATTTGTACAATAGAATTGTGACAACCCTGCGACGGTGTGAAAGTCAAATAAAAGACCTAACCGCTTACTATCGAATGGTCAGACAAGTTATGAGGCGTGGACTTTTCAAAAATCAACATGCCAAGGTAGGTAGAAGGTTGATATTTCGATATTTCAAAAAAGCGTATAAATTAATCACTTGTAATACCTCCATATCGATACACCCTACATGGTTTTTCTGTTATTTATTTACATTCCCTATGCCGATCACTAAATTATTTGTGCCACGAATATTACACTGCACTGAATGTTACCTTTGCCATCGACAAACTACAGAAAAGCGATCAATCCGTTGCCTACGACCGAACTCACCTAATTGAACTGAGCTCTATTTCGTACTCTTCTACTGATTCCTATGTCAACAACCTTTCCTAAAGCTGTCGAACTGAGGTCAATAGCACCGCCACAACACATACTAAATTCTTCAATTACTCGTAGGTGATACCGCCATCACCTCAACTGCGCTTATGATTTGCCCACACTTTACGCGGGAGAGTGCACAAGGCCGACAGTAAAAGTGCCAGCGAGTTCCTCTGGAATGCTGTACCACATATGACTTATTACGTACACCAGAGCGCACATGTGATATACGGTTGTACCCTGTTCACATGTTTCCTAGCCTTGAAAACAACAAGGTACATGGCCGCGTTGCCTACACACTACTGTAGCTAGTTCAGAAGCAATACTCGGCTCCCTGCTTTACCGACATTCCACGAGAAGATGAGTCGACGCAGAACATCCATGAGCTAATTTACGGAGGTCTTCCAGCTAACAGAACCTGGGTAATGCACGATAGCATAGGTTCATGTACTAACAATACCATTGCCATCACAACACCCGGTGCAATTTGGTAAAATACAGCGCCACACAAGGCTCAACAGAACTTCCACTCGAAAACACGATGATGGTATAGTACCCATGATGTATGCTGAATTGAGATAGCCCAGCACTGCAGAGTACGGATGCTTCCGATACGTTTGTGCGGGCCAAACTGTGCAGCATTCCCTCAATCACAGGAGCCATCTTTCCATCCATCTCTCCACCGCTCAAAGGTCTATATTGTTGGAAAGAGGCGCATGATATCATAATTCAGTGCAATGATAGCGACAGAATGATAGGTATACAGACTATCATCTGTCGGCATTCATACCTAATGTATTCAAACGCTTTCATAGCGATGCTTGATTCCTCTACCTTATTAAAAGTCCGTGATAGCTTATAGCGAGTATTCACCCTGAACATACTAGTCCGAAAAACTATACCCATCATTTTCTCATAAACCTGCCAGATAACCATCATCTTCAATTTTGAGAGGCGCCCGCTTTGAGATATACAAGTGGAATGAGGGCAGGACCAAGCACCTATACATTTAACGACTTTTCACTTGGTTTGAAATATGTGTAATTGCGAGGGCGGTACGAAAATCAATATACTGCGCGGATATCGAATTTGCTTGTCGTAGCAGTCGAAGTAGAAAAATCGAAACAGAGTGAACTTACCTTCGAGCAATCGAATATATCCTTTCCTAGATATTTGTTTACTTCATTGTGAGTATCACACATCCATCGAGATACTTCTTGATTGCTATCCACAGTCGGCGGATGCTTACTCTGTGAGCCGGTCACGGAAACGACGAGTTTTTTTTATAATTCAAACTCTCAAAAAAACATTCTCATCAAACATTGTAAATTTCATAGTTCTTACCGAAATGGGATAATACATAACTCTAATCGTGTAGAGCGAGCGGTTCCAAAATTGGCGAATGTGTAGCAAGCAAGTAAGTATGCAAGCAGGCACATTACTCTTATACCTCAAGTAACTTTATATCGCAGGGACAATAAGGCGACAATACGGGAATGTTAAAGTTATTTTATACGCCAAACTATGGATGTGAAGGTTAAATCCTCTATTTATATCAGTGACATACCCGATGACAACCATGTGTTCGGAACAAAGTTTCTGCATACAGTCCTCAAATGAAACATGCAAGCGTCAAACATGTGCGAAGCACAAATTTCGTACATAAACGAGAAGTCCGCCCTATAACAGGGAACGAATGCACAGCTTTTGCGTAATTGCAAACCTCTACTTACAAGGATTACTGCACCATTTTACTTACAATGTGTTTCCGCAAATGTGAGGCGCAATCTTGACATGGGTAGTGGCGAGCAAGTCCGCCGATGAACTGAGTCATAGTCGTCTTGTCTTCATCATTCGGCTTCTCTGGGCTGTAGTAGTTCAATGCAAACCCCACAGTATTAATCAGTGCTCTAGATACAGTGAAAGAACGCGAACCTGTATATCTGTACGTATGAGGAGGCAGCAAACTAAGCATTACCTCCATAGACTCGCAGCTCTGTAAGGGTTTGTAATGGGGTTTCGACACCCCTCACTACATAGAGAAATCTATTAAGCCACAGAAAAGAATATCACATTGCCGCTGCACCACAAAACACAACACCTGACAACCACAGGCCAACCAGAGCCACTTCCAGCAATAGAGACAACTGGTCACAATTTTGCAGAGTCATACCTAAAAATGCAACGGAATCACACAACGAAGATGAATGACACAGTACATACGAGCTAGTAAAAGCCTCAATACAGCTATAATAAACAATTAGTATTCAGAGCTCTAGCGTCAGTGTATCGGTCACTGGCAACAATATATCCCAGGCTGCTTCTCAGCCAAATGTGTCCACACTCATCACTACAGAACTTACTTTGCTAGGCATAACAATGAACACCTCCATCATCGGAGTACGTGTATACATAGAGTGCGCGCTGAAGGTGCAAGCACAGCTGCAGTCAGTAGCGAGGGGTGTGGGTATTCTAAATTCGACATACACTCGTTCCAATCTACAAATATACGTAACGAAAAATAGACTTGACAAAGGATATACACAATAGCATTTTACTCTGACTGCACACACGATACACACGTGCATATTGAGGATAAGCGATGTAGGTAACCCATGTTCAAGAACGCTAGTCGCACTCGTCAAAAATTTCAGCTCATGAAAGTACGCAAATGAACGCAAGTGAACGCAAGTGAGCGCAGGTGGACACAAATGAAAGCCAGTGAACGCATGTGACCGCAAGTAACCGCAAGTAACCGTAATTGACCGCGACTGAACGCAAGTGAACTCAAATGAACGCAAATGAACGCAAGTGAACGCAAGTGAACGCAAGTGAACGCAAGTGAACGCAAATAAACGCAAATGAACGCAAATGAACGCAAATGAACGCAAGTGACCGCAAGTGAAAGTAAGTGACCGCAAGTGACCGCAAGTGACCGAAAGTGACCGCAAGTGACCGAAAGTGACCGCAAGTGACCG